TTCTGCGACATGAGAGATATGGGACAAACGATAAAGGTGACTCGAACCCGTGACCCTTTGAATCGTAGCCCTGAGTCTGTTTACGCCTTTAAACCACCTCGGAATCAGACAGAGGGATATTACTCTTCTATAATATTTTTTTAAATTCTTTCAGTTGTAGCATTAGAAAGCCGAAAAATTGAGAAAATGTGAAAACTGCTACAGAATGGCACAGACTTACCTGAATTAGTGTTCTATTTCCTTTGTCCTGGGCTAGCTATTCTCTCTTGCTACATACTCTTGCCTGCTGCTATCAATCGCTGCCTATAGTACATTTTTTGAAATTTTCTTAACTTTTCGGTGTCCTAATAGTAGAATGAAAATATTATTTTAGCTGTATTAAAAAACAATAAAACTTCGTTGCAATGGCAATTTTCGAAAATGACGTAAATTCGAAATTTGAATTTTTTTTCCAGATTTTTGAAAAGATTTTTGAGTTTTCGAAAACGTCATTAGAAGCAAATTAACTCACAAATACAATAGTGCAATACATTTCTGAACATGTGTTTATTAATTGTGTGACAGATCTTTCAAATAAAATACATTTGTGAAATTTTTGGAAAAAAATACCTGGAGATAATTTTAACCCCATATTAAAGAGTGCAATAGGAGTGTCCTTTCAAAAAGGTTGAAGAAAAAATGTGGAGCTGTTTTTGAGATAATCTTTTTGGATTTTTCTTTAAATTGCACAAATTGTACACAATATTGTGAGAAAACTATTATTTTTTTAAAAAAAATGTACATGATCTTGATGAAAGAATTCAGTATGGATAACAAATTTCATTTGAGGGAAAAATCTCTATCTTTAATTTTGTAGTTGTAAGAAGACCCAAAAAATTAAATTTTTGAAATTTTCAAAAATTCGAACTTAACTGCTAAAACGGACCTATGCCACCTTTCGATTTGATTAATTTTAAATACAAAATTGGGTGGCATTTTTGAGAAAATTTTGAAAATGTCCCAGGGACATCATGTGGAGTACCCCCAAAAACTAATGGTTTCAAAATCGCAGAGCTTCGACGCAGATTAAATGGACAGTTCAATTTGGAAAAGATCCTACGCATGGTTTAGGCGCTGTTCACATCCACTAATCGGAGAGACGGACATTTTGAAAATAACCATATTTTCGGTATGAAGGGACACCAAAACGTGCATTACCGTTGAAATCTTGAAACCGATTTTTCGCAGCATTACATAAGTTTCCCTATACTACTAATATTATTCCGTTTGTACGTATGTAAATGGGAAAGTAGAAAATAAAAGCTACTATAAGCCCAAGTTCTCCTACCTTAAAGTGTATAAGTAAGATAATATCACAGCAATACGGCGTGAAATATTTGGGTTCATGATGGGTGTTCTGTGAACTGATTAAAGGGGGAAATGGGCGGCAAGTTTCCGGAGGAAAGGACCGAATAATAGACCTCAAAAAAGAAAGTTTTTTTTGCAGAGTATTTATTATCATGGGATATTGTTCTTATGAGGATAGTGAGTGAATAATAAACTCAATTTTGCTAACGGTAGCTTTGATACTTTCCTTCTATGAATTTCTCTAGTCCGGCACCCGTGGAAAGTAGACTGTATAAATTATGGCTTCTAGAGATGTCAACGAAGACGGTGCCATTGATTTATCGTGCTAGTAAGAGTAGAAAGAGGTGGGAAAAATTCCATTGAAATACACAAGTGTGATAAAGTTGGTATGGATTATACAATAAAACAACATATTATTCAAGGATATTATACACTATACAAGGATCAAACAGGGAAGAAAGCAAATTGTGGAAGTGAAATATCCCAGTCTTGATTATACAAAAATAGACACATTGTGTATTTTAATTAACATTTTTCTTTTATTCATATGAACACAAGGTGTATAGTGGGGAGAACAGTTTTCATTTTTCACTAATAAATAATGACAACAATCAGAAAAACGTAAACTATTTAATACATTGTAATTATAACACACTTTCTTATATTTACATTCAATGCATTCCAAAGTGCTACAACACAATACATATAGTAAATAAAAATGTTTTTTTATACATTCACATGGTGAATAACTTCCCATTCATTAAATAATAGCATAAAAGCAAGTGTTCATGTTCATTAAAACATGACTAGGAGTGATATCTTTGGTGTACAATATTATAACATCAGGTGGCTAACAGATGAAATTAAATTATATATAAATACTCGTTAATAATATAAACATGTATTATTCACATGTGTGTATATACATACTCATAAATATGTTCCATGTTATATAGACACACCCACAAAAAGTTCAAGAAATCAAAACTTTCACTAAATATTTTTTTCAGCAATGCAACAAGCAAAATGCTTTTAGACAATATTTGATATAATTCTGCTATTCTCATAACCTTATAATTTATTATTAAACATGCATTTGCTGCATATGCATAAAAATTGTTTTTTCTGTGAAACTCCTAAATGACATGAAATCTCAAAGGAGTACAATGTTTATCAGAGGTAATGCACAAGATATGATTGTTTGCTGTTTGGAGCAAAGGTGCCATCTCTTGTTAGAGTTAGGAGGATTTTAAGTTTCTAAAACTAAATGGTTGTTTCAAAAACATTTTCCTCATTCATGTATTTAGTAAAATAAGGAGTATAACACACACTTGTTACATTGCATTTCATGTCTTGGGTTGCAAATATTAATCACTTGTATTAAATGTCTCTAGATCTTCTTGAACTATCTATTTGAAAATCAAGTTAAACCATTATATACAGGTACAAATATATAAACAATTGTGCAGCAAATTGTTAGCTGTCTGTCCCAGTGTAGACGAGTGATACATTGATATCTTCAACGTTTTAGGGTGTTTTTGAATTAGGTAAGGAACTTAATGTAGTATGTATAGAGTCACACTTCATATAACCATAGCACATATATATGTATATTTACATATATACACAAAATATGTGTATATATATTTGTACACATATTCTATGAAGTACATATTGGGCGTGAGATTTTATGTTATTGATTTTAAGACATGGTATTTCATTTTAGTGTATGAATAGGGATCATAAACTTTTGTAAGATCTTATTAGTGATTGAATTATCAAAGGCCACATTTTTATCTCACTTCTTTGTGAAGGCATATTTAAAATTTGAGGATCTTGTGTTTGTTGTAATGGTGAGTTAGAGGAAAATGTATCTAAAGAATTCAAAATTAAAATAAACAAGAAATGGATATTTTGAAATCTGTTGTTCTCGTCAGATAACTTTAAATTATACACAAATATAAATCTCTTACATATTTCAAACATTCATACATCGCACAAACAGTTCTATAAACATTCGAGAATTGATTGTAATAGGTATGCCTTGAATCAGATTGTTAAACATGAAAAAATGAGGGTTTTCACCTTTGTGACTACCTTTAATATCGCCATTTATTGAAAGGAACCCGAAAAGAAGCTTTCGTCTCACAATAAATAGAAAGAACCAAACTGCATGCTGAAAAGGGGAGAGAGGTTTTAAAGGTGGTGAATGTAGGTTCTAGAAAGATGACACAGACTAATATCTACTGTTCTTAGAAACTCTTTCTCATCAACTGACATTTTCAATAAGACACTTGAGTAACTCTCAGCAAATTCACAGTATATAAAAAAAGTTACTGTACAATAAGACAATAGAATTGCAGAAATGAATGAGAAAAATACCTTAATGAGGCATGTCGGGCCCTTGAAGGAAAATGATTAGAGTTGGTTCATGCCAAGACATACATGAGAAATGAGGCTACATCATAAATCATGAATGTGTAAGATAAAATTATAAATACTATTTGAATGAAATGAGTAAATTGAGGGAACATATCCGTCAAATTGGCAAGAATTGGTTAAAAGGTCTAGAGTGAAAATGCGCAAGAAATAAGCGTCAGGCTCACCCATGACCTATACCTTAAGTATTTTGTGTTACGAAATGATGTCACTAAACTATTTATAAAACAAAATCTTCATCAATGTTCTTTTGAGAATTAATCATGTTTTTTATTAAAATTTGTTTTATTTGCAAATTGACAGCTTCAATTCAATAGTTAGTCAACAGTTGACAGAAAAAACTGAGTCGGATGTTAGATTAGTGTTTTATAATTTCTTTTACTGTTTTCGAACGTGTTTATGGAATCCTTTCCGCGTGCTTTTGAATAAAAAAGGAGTAATAACATTTTTAGAAAGCTCTGACCCTAAAATCCGTTTCGAGAATATGGTCGCACTTTTCCCGTCTTTCACAGCGAAACGACTGCCCTAAGGACAATAATGAGTTCTAAAGGCATGAATTCTGTGAATTAATACAATTCTAATATCACTACTTGTTAATATCGATTTTTTTTGCCCTGTCTCATAGTAGTTTTTTCTTTTCCTGGACCGAAGATTACCACCATTACTTTAGCATATCAAATGAATATTTTAGTACAATAGAAAATTTTAATTTTTTTTAGTATATTAAGACGTTTTCTTTATGGAAAGAAATGATAGTCATGAATTTCTCTTTCCACACCATTCCTTTGCAAATAATTAATTTATTTTTTCTATTTTGTATCAAAAATTACTATAAATAAATAAGACAATATTAAGAAACAGGAGGAAAATAAATATAGATAGTTATTATTCATTTCGAAATGAAGATTCCAGAATATGCTCAATTACACATTGAAACGAAGCCAATCAAGACAGAGGAGGCCTAGAAAAAATCCTCGCATGGCCATTTATAGGCCGTAGTACTAAAGAGAGTTCCAGTGGCCGATGATAAAATCTTACTTAATTATTCTCCCCAAACATTTTATTGTTCACCAGAGTGAAACAAACCAAATTCATATGAAAATCTTCACAAACATACGTGTACTACTTATTAAAATATAGTTTGACTACCCGGTAACTTTTAAAAGTACGTGTATATGTTGTATTTGGTCAACGAACCCTTTCTATTCTTTTTTTTATACTTTGATATGGCAATTTTCTTTGTGTTCGGCTACGATGGCATTGTCACTGATATTGCACTCCTCGTCTTCCTCCTCGTCTGCGAACTTAATGTCCTCGTCCCCGTGGAGGAAATCACAGAAGTCGGAGTTTGCGTCGCTGGGCGACTTTTCGACGCGCGTCTCCTTCTCGGCGAGGCCGCCGCCGCCGTGCACGCGCGCGGGCGACTCGCCGCCCTTGTCCTTGTCCTTGCGCCTGCGCGGCCGGCCCTTGCGCGCGTGCCGGTTGTCGTCCTCGCCGCCAGACGGCGGCAGCTGCAGCAGCGCGCGCGGCACCATCTCCGTCGCCTGGCGGAACGACAGCGGCGGCGGGTCCCGCTCCGCGCCCGCGCCCGCGGCGCTGACGTCCGCCTCTGACTGCGCATGCGCGAGCAGCGCCTGCGCATGCGCCTCGGCCAGCAGCTGCTCGCCTTGCTCCTCCCAGGCGCCCGGCGCGAACGGTGGGATCCACACCAGGTAGGCCGGGTCCATGCCCAGGTACGAGCCCGGCACGGCGCCGGCGTTGGACACGTTGTAGTCGTAGTAGTCGAGCTCGAGGTCGTGGTCGGGGCCGGCCAGGCTGAACTCGGAGCCGCCGGCCAGCAGGCGCTGCAGGTTGCGCTGCTCCTTGTGCTCCTTGGGGTTGGCGCGCACGGCGCCTGCCACGTGCGACAGGCTGGGCGTGCTGCGGCCCTGCGCACCCACACACACCCACACTTCATGAACATGTCAATTGAAAATTATTAGTGAATTGTAACGTCAAAGTCCCTTGTGTTTTCATGATCTTTAAATGTCTTGGAATTGTGGCGTCAAAGTCCCTTGTTTTAACACAAACATTAAAACTTTTGTGAATTTGGACGTCGAAGTTCTTGTTTTTACACAATCATTTAAATTTCTTTGAATTGTTATGTCAAAGTCCCTTGTTTCATTTCAATCATTTAAACTTGTCTGAATTGTTACGTCACACGCTTGTTTTTACACAATCATTTAAACTTTTGTGCTTGTGACGTAAAAGTCTTTTGATTTTATACAATAATTTAAATTTCTATGAAGAGTTATTCACAATAATATTCGCATTTACATGTTAGATGTTTGCTTGGCTTCCAACATCATAATGACTATTTTTCAAATACTGCTAATCTTGCGATTTTTAAAATTTATTTATATTAAACCTTTACTCATTTTTCAAATATTTATAGTTAAAATGACGGGAAGGGATTTTGGTACGCAAGAAAACGGGCGCAGATACTCCTCTTTCCCCTTCGTCACATACAGTTTTTACTGTTTTTTTGACTGAATAAATCTAAATTTAAATCTAAACATTGTATTCACGTACAATGTACTAGTATTTTAACTGAACGACGTTTCAAAATAATAGTTCAATTCTCAAAATCCAGTCAATTTGATTGTTGTGTAACATCCAGAAGATTGTTGTGTGCCAGAAGGTCACTCGGGTGTGATACGACGGAATTCATACGTCGACAATGTTAAAATACATACAAGGAATACGCGTAGCATAGCAACGAACTAACAAACATATAAGCGTGCCGTGCTAGTTGTTAGGAACAGGAACTGTATTGTCGAGATACTGCACGGCCTGGTGTCGTTAACATGGAATTGATTAGGGGAGGGCGTTGAAAATTTAGCTCAAACAAAAAGCGAGTTCTCATTCTCACGGAAACAGCCAAGATAGTAATGAACATTATAACATTTATTTCGCCATTGTAAATTTACGTTGCGGGTGAATGTTTGTTTCATAAGTCCATAATAGTGTAGGCTAAACAGAATTGTTCATTTGAGTTTTAAGTGGGTAAATATTTGCATTTTTAACGATAGTCACACTTGTTGTCGTGTAGAAACTTAGCATTTAGACTTCGTGTTCGTGGGTTTACATGAGGTTAGTTTCGTAGTGGGAATTTTAAATTGTTAATTTGAAGGAAATAGTACTTGCGAATAGAGGTTTCACACGCAATCTAGTGAGGGAAAGTCATGACTCGATTATATAATGATGTAGGGATGTAGGGATTTTACGAATAGCGGACTGCATAATTAGTAAGCGTAGGGAAGCATTTATAGTTTACACGGACATTAGGCTCACAAATCACACCACAAGAGAATCACCTTTTGAAGAAGACGGCGACATCAACCGAGAAGACATACTGTAAGCTTACAAACTTTATCAAAGCCAACGGTTTAACAATGTTCAAAGGCCATAGAAACATTAATCAATGACGACCTCGAGACATGCTCTTTTGTCAGGTTTCTCAAAAATTTTGAGCAAATGCTGAGATGGTCCCGTGTTTGGCTTATGGACGTAAATGTAGCTTCAGTATGCGCACGTTTTGTTGAACTCTCCTTTTGCTTGTAATGGTAAGTGTAGAGGTAAGGGCGAGTTACCATTTTGTTAGCAATGCAGAAAAAATCATACTTGCAATTAATTTACCGTAGCAAATAAGTTCCGGATTACTCGGGAACGAAAATGTCTACTTTTTTAAATATTACTAATCTCGCACTTTTTTAAAATGTGTTTTTATTTATTTATAGTTAAAATGGGAAGGGATTCTAGAACCCAAGAAAATCATCTTCTCCCCCACTCGTCACACACTTTTTTTTACGTTTTTTTGACTAAATAAATCTAAATCTAGATTACAAGAGTTACATCATTCAGTCGGGAACCTTCATTTGTAGCTAAAAGGAGAAAAGCCAAGTAAAATGATTTCTCGTACTCACGTTGGCGAGCGTGGCGGCGCTGGGCGGGCGCGGCGGCTGCTGGTGGTGGTGGCGCAGGAAGATCCCTCGCTCGCTGCCTGCGGACGCCCGGCTGCTGGCCACGCTGCGCGCGCTGCAACAGCGCACAAGCGCTCAGCGCCTCGATCGCTGGCGCGCTCCGCAGAGCACGAGCCAACCCATTGGACCACATCCAGCCACATTAATGGCTCCGTGTTCGTCCAATGCCAAGGTCATTAGCCCCGTTAGTGCGTGGAGTGGTTTTTATGGCTGGAGGTGAGATGGTCCTCACCTCACAGGTGGTGGAGGTCCTTCGTGGAAAGCGTGTGTGGCACTCACCAGGTGGTGGAGGTCCTGGGTGGAGAGTGTGTGGGGCACTCTCCTGGTGGAGGGTAGGCGTGGCAGTCACAGGTGGTGGAGAGCGTGTGGGGCACTCACCAGGTGGTGGAGGTCCTGAGTTGAGAGTGTGTGGGGCACTCACCTGGTGGAGGGTAGGCGTGGCAGTCACAGGTGGTGGAGGTCCTGGATGGAGAGCGTGTGGGGCACTCACCAGGTGGTGGAGGTCCTGGTGGAGCTGGGCGTGTCCAAGGGCGTGGCGGTGCCTCCGCCGGGCGGCGGGAGGGCGGCGGCGGCGGGCGCGGCGAGGAGCGTGGCGGAGCGTGGAAGGCCGCCGGGCGAGGGCGAAGGCGTGGGCGTGGGCGAGGGCGAGGGCGGGCGCGAGGCGGGCGACGTGGGCGGCGTGCAGGGCAGCGACGCTGTGCTCGCGGCGCCGTCGACGGGCGACGAGGCGTTGATCACCTCATACTCGCTACGAAGCCACAACGACCGTCACATCAAGTTCAGATTACAAGGCAAACGCTAATTTAGACAAGCATTTATGTATTTAGACATGCACCAAAACACGCGCGTTTGCTTTATGTAATCGCGTTATTACAAGTCAGAATGATATTGAAGAGCTTGTTTCCATAGTGAAGTATGTCGATAAAAGCGCGATTTCTCAGGAAAGGAAGGAATTCACATTCATCCTTATACTGTTAGTTGAAGGTATAATTCAACGAAATTCAACTCGTAATAGAAAAAAAAATGTTTCGATAGAGGTGCCGCCTCGGGCGTCAAGCAGTCAACACGTACACAGACAACCTCACTAATGTGTCCGAGTGACAGTGTGTGAAGGGTGTCGTTTAGAACTGTACTTTGCTAGTAGCGCTGCAGCGCTTCTTATAGCGAGGGTGCGCCACTAAGGCCCCTTCAGGCGGCGCCACTCCGCAGCGCTTCCGAGTGGGGCGTCTGCTGCCAACGGAATGTTTAAATGGAGGTATTCGCGTCGATTGGCGCTTACTGGCGACCAGCAGTGAAACCAGCAGCGTTGGCGCTCATCCTCACAGCTGCCATCAAATACAGTTTTAAATGGCAGCCTTCACTGTAGGCCACTAGCAAGCTCCACTTAACTAATCTTTTTACATGTTGACTACCTTACTGCCGCCGGAGCTCACAAACTTTCCCTTTCCGATCTTCGGCGTGTTTGAAGGAGTTAGGGGCTTCTCGGTGTCGTCGAGTTGCCCGTAAGAAGGCCATCTGACAGTCACAGAGGAACCACTCAGCCGTTCGTGTGTATATTTATTAGAAACAACTAGATGAACCCGTGCTAAAATTTCGCATATTTGGGCACATGAAAGTATACCGAAATACTCTAATATTTGGATTTTATTTCATTCTATTATTGAAAAATAATTTAAAGTTTTAAAAGAAGTATGTTGAACGCATATTGAATAGCGTTTTAAAATGATAACCGATTTTCCTATTACTGGAGCACATTATTTTTAATTAACATCCGTGGCGCACCAACTGAAGGATCAAATGGGGTTTCCTCCCCCTCCTGCAAGGTTGAGAAATGCAAGAGAAACTGGTCTCGTGACCTCAACCGTTAAGAGAGCGAGGCCCTTCAAAAGTCAAATATACTCTCTCCAATCCGCCTATATTTATGTGCAATGTTATGCTAAGTGAATAATGATTTTATCACTGTGGACGTTTGTGACACTTAATATATAGTGCTCGCTCTAAAATTATTATTACTATTTTTAATAATATGTTTTCACATACACAAATGCAATTACAGAGTGGCGTATCTTTTAAACGCTAAGCTTGAAACAGAAGTGTGTATGTGTGTGTGTGTGTATATGTATAAGGGCATTCAAAACCAAACTGATGTACTTACGGGAGAGGAAAATTGCTTTGGAGGCTAATATGCGTCTTCCAGTAGACTACGCCTTTGTAGTGACGTCAGTGATATTTTTGGCGCTATATTGGCTAATATTGGGAATACGAACTCCTTGAATGAAAAGCTACTGCATTTAAGTTTTATCGTAAGTTTTTGTAACATTTAGAAATCATAATGGGTCGACGGAGATCACAACATAGGTCGCATGACGAGAAGCGTCTGGGGTGCTACACTCAACAGCCCTTGCGGAGAGCACCAAGCAAGTGTCTGCTGTGAGAATCACGTTATTTATGTGCATCTATAAAAAGCTTTACAGTTTCTTCTGCAACTTCACATCATACATGTTCAATCTATTAAACTTAGTGTTTCATAGTAAAAACGAGTTTTCTTCATTTTTACACAAATAGTCTGTCAGACTACGTCTTTGTATTAATGCTTGGAACAGGTCACCTCTGCAATCTAGGGTTAAAAAGGGGTAGAAAGTGTTCTCTTCATTTTTTCATTAATATACATAATAGAGCGTCGATTATATCTGGTCTAAACAATACCAACTCTAGATCACATACTGAAATTGTCCGAATAATCGACAATACCAGAAGACTAATAAATTGAGTGGAAAGAATCAAACAATTTCCAGAAAAATCGAATCGAGGAAAATAATGAACGTACATACGAACTCCCGTAAAAAATTCAATGAACTCAATTTCAGAATCTGAACAACAAAAACTGTAAATAAGAATTTAAAAATTTTAAAACAGGTAAGTACTTAATTTAAGCTCAAAAACATTTAAAATTGTTCCATATTTGTGAATCCGCAACAAGTTTATTGTGTAAAATCATAAAATAGATCCTTAAGTTTTGCAAACTCTTATTTGATTTTCAATACAGAAAATGATTACCGAAAACCGAAGCCACTTTATATAAGAAAAAAAGGGTAGGATAATTGACGAACCGGTTGATTGACGTCCAAATAAATAACGATTTACCAACAAGTCGGAAGAGCGAGTCGGAAGTGCAAGTCGGAAGTGCTGCCGGGTGGCTCTGTGTGAAGGGGCCACACAGATGCACTCTTCACGTATTAATGTACAAGTAATTTGCCAGCAGAAACGCGATTCAGAAGCGCTGCTGGTTGGCTCCGTGTGAAGAGACCACTCGGCAGCGCTTTTCACGTATTATATAGATACTTTGCCAGCAGAAGCGCTATTCAGAAGTGCTGTCGAGTGGCTGCGTGTGAAGGGACCACTCGGCAGCGCTTTTCACGTATTATACAGATACTTTGCCAGCAGAAGCGCGATTCAGAAGCGTTGCTGGTTGGCTCCGTGTGACGAGACCACTCGGCAGCGCTTTTCACGTAGTATATAGATACTTTGCCACAGCAGAAACGCGATTCAGAAGCGCTGTTGGTTGGCTCCATGTGACAGAACCACTCGGCAACACTTTTCACGTAGCATATAGATACTTTGCCAGCAGAAACGCGATTCAGAAGCGCTGCTGGTTGACTCCGTATGAAGGGGCCACTCGGCAGCGCTTTTCACGTAGTATATAGATACTTTGCCATCAGAAGAGCGATTGAGAAGCGCTGCAGGTTGGCTCCGTGTGAAGGGACCACTCGGCAGCGCTTTTCACGTAGCATATAGATACTCTGACAACAGAATCGTGATTCAGAAGCGCTGCTGGTTGGCTCCGTGTGAAGGGACCACTCGGCAGCGCTTTTCACGTAGTAGTATATAGTGTGGCAGCGGCAGGGCGAGTGGGAAGCGCTGTCGAGTGGATCCGTGTGAAGGGGCTGCGCTTACTTCTCCGTGGAGTCGTATCCCCTGGGGTCGACGTCTCCGTCCTCCTGCTGCTCCTCGTCCTCATCCTCCTCGCGCAGGCGCTTGTGCACGCCGCCGCCCCCGCCGCCGCCGCCTCCACCGCCACCGCCGCCGCCTCCGCGTCGGAACGCGAAGCGCTTCAGCGAGATCACCTGCAACGGAAAACAACAAGCTTTATCACGAAGAAAAATAAACAATATCAAATTAGGTATTTTTTATGTATATGGTTCATATCAAACGCCGAGACATCAAAATACTAAGGGTTCAAAAAAATATTCAAGAAGTATTTTCAAAATATCACCAACACCTGGAATACATCCCTTTCATCAGCTCGAACCTTACTTCATAATAGCCAAGAAATGTTTCGTCTCAATATAATTTCCTCTCTTCAGCTCCTTCACAGTTCAGAGAAGTAACATTCATCCAAATAGGTATTCTTATTTTGTTGTAATATTCCTAACATATTTTTAAATTTGTTGTCCTTATAATACTCAACAATAACATTATAATATTATTGAAATAATATTATAATATTGTTGTACTGTTCTAATAATACCTTGTTACAGATTTGTGAAGAATACCAACGAAAATTTTCTTTTTTGTATTTCATTTTATATGGTTAATAACTCTCTATTTATGTGGTATTTAATGATTATTTCTCCTTTGAAATTGATTATAAATATTCATTGTATACAAATTATGTTGGTTAGAGAATAGTATCAAATACTTATGTCAAGACCACACCGTTATATTTATACTATTAGATGTAGGCTAGAATTCTGTTACCGTGTTCTTTTAGCTGGTATATTTAATTCTTGTCTTTCGCTTTTTAAAGCCGCAAAGCATATTGGCTTTCCATTTAACACATAGTCACGTGAGACAATCATATCAACACTTTGTAATAAAATTCGAATGTAAATAAGAAGCTCAATTTTACTTTTACTTCTTATCATTGTTAAAGTTACTAGTAAGCAACGCAACGCCATCAGATGCTTAATCTTATCAGTTATTTGTCAAATAATTTCATTAGAAAATTTCCGATGTATACTTGTAGATGAATAGTGCACAAAGATTCAGACTAATACAATGAAACAAATATATATTCCTACAAACTGTACTTTTTTATGTTTTTCTCAAATGTCACTCTATAGCTCGATATGACATGCCCCAAAATAAAATGATATGAGAATGATAAAAACTGTTACAAAACTATGCCATAACGTACCCATCATAACTGTTTTAAGACATGAGTATCTGAATATATTTCTGTTAGAGGTTCCTCATAATCGTTAATATCAGGATTAAAGTGATCTAAATTGTACTCGAGATTGCAAGCTGGTTTGAAAACACATTCAGTAATTAAACATCAACCTTAAGTTGCTTTTATATTTTGCATTTTCACAATTAATTGTCATTTTTATCAAATAAATAAGCAAACAAATATAGTAGTCAGAGATGCAACCAAGGGGAAGGGTTCAGGGAATGTCACCTTCCCCCCCACACACACACACACAAAGAAAAAACAATGAAAGATATTCACAAATATAGTCTCACTAATGTTCTGTAGTAGCCCATCATTGAATAACTCTATTGATTACTATACAAAAACCTATAATCTGCAAATAACAAAACATTTTAAATTTAGCGTAAATGAAGTTTTATTTATAAGAAAACATCAAATCCACTAGACCTCTAGTTCCCCGCCATAAAACACTCTGACTGTGCCAGTGAATACACAATGTTGCAAAAGAAAGTTAGAAACTTCTAGGGCATGTAGTAAGGTTCAATATTATAATTTTTGCCAATATCAAATACTGTACATTTTCAGAAAATGTACTTGTGAATTTATACATCAGGCATTTTCTCCTCATTTGTGGTCAACCCTGTTCGCACAGATCTTTGGCAGACACTCAACGTCTCCTTGGCTGCGTCAAAACTTGACCTGGCAAACATTTTAAAGAGTAGACTAAAAATCAAGGGCAAATATCACATGCGTTTCCGCGTTCATTGAAAACACGTGATCATTTGAGACCCCTGTACATGCCCTAGAAGTTTGTGAAGTTTATTGAGAGACAATTAAATTGTTATTGTAAATAACATATAATAAAGTAACAATGCAAAAATTGAGGCGCCCAGATTAATAATGGCAGATCCCAGCCGAAGTTCATAAAACAAAAAACTTTTGGTTTTGTTCACTCTCACTCCGGACAAGCTTTTGAAGGCGGAATTTGAAGATTTTTTCTCATCCCAATTCATTTGATATTGCAGCATATTGTAACGTATTAGCCAGCGTGCCTCATGGCATCTATTTGGGGACGCTTGGGAGCGGATTAGCCTAGCCACAGGAAGTAGGATTTTTCCGTAAAGGGAAGAACGCGGAATGGGGGAGACACAAGGCTTTGGGAGTTTCCGGCTTATAGAAGCTTTTCACTGTTATAACAAGCGAGGGGGTGGCGTGACGTAGTAGGTCACGTGGGCCTCGCCTATATAACTGAGTGTACAGAGCCAGTAGAGAGGTTCTGGAGACGGTGGGAGAACCTCGTGCGTGTGCACAAAACTTGGCGCCAAGACGGTGCATATGCGAGCCAGGCTCGCGAGGCTGGAGTCATTAGTTGACGAAGCCTGCGGACTTTATGTCCTTGGGTGACTGCGGTCACGGGGGAGCGATGCTGTGTGCGTGCTCCGAGGTGAAGAGTGGTTGAGTGCCACGATTCACGCCGATTCTCAATCGGATAAGATCGCTCCTGCGATCGAGGCAAACCAGCCGTTGGTGCGCCAGAACGGACTTTGTGTCCCAGCGTGACATCCGGTCACGGAAGCTAGGCTTTGTGCGCGCTTCAAAAGTAGGAGTGGCGAATGCCACAATCAAAACCATCTTCAATCGGGTTTGGATCGCTCCCGCGATCAGGGGATAGTAGGTCTATCAGAGCTAGGGTGTAAGTAGATTATTAAGTGTATATATTTGTTTTGTTTTCTTTGTTAATAAATATATTGTTATACGAAAGCTCTGTGTCTGTGGTCGCTGTGAGTATCCATGACGTCACAATATGATAGGTGTGTGGAAGGAGTTTACCGCCATCCTTCCAACTGAAATTGCGAGGTCAGCTGGGATCCGCCCTTACTATACCAAGCGCCTCAATTTATAAATACCCCATCCGCACAGTAAAGCAAAGCAAAGCAAGCGCAAGGACACCTAGTGACGACACCTTTTGACAAAACATCGATGCTTCGATACAACACCAAAAGGTTTACGATGTCGATGAAAACATCGACAAAAACATTGGTGTTTAAAGTATTAATATTTGCATTGTGAAACAAGGAATACGATAAAAGTGCTCTGCTTCTAATATGATGCATAACACGTTACTATTAGTTTAAAGTATATTCTGCCTTAAAGTTGACAGTCATTTTAATTTTCTAATCTGAATTCTGGGTACTCAAGGTTCAGATTCCACGTTGACGACAGTGTGTACAAAATAATATAAAAAGGTAACAACTGTGGAGAAAGGTTGTGGATAGCAAACGTTTTAGTAGTGTCTATAATCGACAACAGTGACAGCTGTCAATGGCTGTCTACAAATAAAATACGCACTGGAAATTTAATTTAGATCATGATAATTTTGTTTTGAAAACATCGTTGTTTCACGACAAATATATCGGTTTGAAGGAAACATCGATGTTTCTGCTCGAAAATAAGGGTGTTTTAAAAGTATTGAATTGAATTGAATTAAGGTCTTATTTCACGTGGCGAGACTCGGGCAGTCAGGCCCGCTCTTCCGTCTGACCACGCAAATTTCGCTACGCTTCTTTCATCTAGCAGAGAAAAAAGGTATTTCCTGGGCGAGAAACAGGCGATTTGAATTTAGGTCAGAGGCGTCATTTAGGCTTGAGGATATTTTACATGCAAGTAAATCTACTAACATGGGACAGCCGGCTTTACTTCTCCTCCGAAGGAAGACGTACGAAGGGTTTTTTCGCCCTTAAAAATCCACGGCTTCAATCGTGTTTTAACCCACCAACTTGGGTACAACAGTCTGATACGCTAACCGTTCCCGTCCCATCGCCGCGCAAAAGAAAGCATGGATGTTTTTGTGTTGGGGGGGGGGGGCTCCCCAAGCGCCACTGACCTCGGAGAGCAGCGTGGCGGAGGAGGCGGCGCGGCTGGGCAGCAGCGAGCCGGGGCCCGGCGCGTCCGTGTCGGCGTCGTCGCGGCTGGCCGCCAGCTGGTACTTGCGGTAGCGGTGCGCGTACTGCAGCGCCAGGCAGCCCGCCGCCGCCACCAGCAGCGCGGCGAACAGCGCGAAGGCCACGTGCGCGCCGCTCAGCGCCAGCCCGGCCCCCGCCGCCGCCGGCACCGCCCCCGTCGCCCCCGCGCCCGCGCCGGGCGATCGCTGCGCCACGTTGGCCGCGTCCGCCAGCAGCACCGCGCTGCCGTTCGGCCCCTCCGCTTGCGCTGCGCACACGACGCCGCCGGTTTTGCATTAGGGAGTTTTAGCGACGTTATGCACTAACAGTCACGTGACGGGCCTTGAAGTCATAACGTCTTACCTTGGGCCTAAGGTACGACCTTATACTTTCATAAATAGGAAGTTTTAGCAGCACGCGTAAGGTAGCGGCGTTATGCACTAACAGTCACGTGACAGGCTTTGAAGTCATAACGTCTTACCTTGGGTCTAAGGTACGACCTTATACTTTCATAAATAGGAAGTTTTAGTGCCACGCGTTAGCGGCGTTATGCTCTAACAGTCACGTGACGGACCTTGACGTCATAACGTCTTACCTTGGGCCTAAGGTACGACCTTATACTTTCATAAATAGGGAGTTTTAGCGACACGCGTTAGGGGCGTTATGCTCTAACAGTCACGTAACAGACCTTGACGTCATAACGTCTTACCTTAGGCCTAAGGTACGACCTTATACTTTCATAAATAGGGAATTTTGCCGCAACGCGTAAGGTATCAACGTTATGCACTAACAGTCACGTGACGGACCTTGAAGTCATAACGACTTTCCTTAGGCGTAAGGTACGACCTTATACCTTCATAAATAGTGCACGCCTGTGGGAGTCTCTAAGGCCACCTTACAAGCGGCAAAATGGCCGCCTAAAAACAGGGAAAGTTTTTTCCAACTCTGGCAAACCGATTCTCGTATGTGAGGCAGTTAGAATTATTCAACTCACAGCTGCTTTTGCAACCACGTACGGGCGCCTCCTCTGCGTCCATGTGGGCAATTAGGTTGGCTTACTTCCCTAAGACCCGATTTTCGGGTTTCCTTGTGAAAAGGGCCTGGCGTTTCAGGCCCGCGCGCGTGGCTTCTGGGACAATCATTTTACAGAAGCGACAACGCGTATGCACAACTCCGAAATCTTTTGACAAAAGAATGCGTGTGAATCGAAACTAACGCATCACTTCATACACGGTACGTCGCGAATGAAGGATTTTCCAAGTACCTGGAACCCCTACGCCTCGCGAACGTACACTAATATTATCATTTTGGTGACAGGTATACACGTTATAACGCAGTATAAGCTACACAATAAAGGCAACATGACGATATAGTCACTACCAGGTTGTCTCCTGAGTGTTTCGTGTATCTAGAAAACACCGGTGCGGGATGGCAATTTGATACGCAAAGCCCCAAATGTTCTACACGAGTCTTTGTACGTGATCTGGGCGGTACGGATGACGCCGCGTCGAAGGCAGTGTTGCCATCGTTTCGACAATCCTGTCGTGGTCTTCCTCAGGGCTGGTATGCTCCAGCCCTCGCATAGCAGCCCTGAGGAAGACGACAAGATGGTCGAAACGTCGGCAACACAGCCTTCGACGCGGCGTCACCCGGACAGCCCAGATCACGCTCACGACTCTGGCCGCGGAAGCCTACGACTTCATTACACGGGTCTTTGTTATGTGAGTTACCCCACAGGTTCATACAAAAAAAAGGGAGCACCTTCCACGCCACATAAGTTCACCCCGCCAATTCTAAAGTGATCGCCTGTTCGAGTGGCACTCACACCACATAAGTTCACCCCGCCAATTCTGAAGAGATTCGAGTGGCACTCACGTATCTGCAGCGCGTGCGCGATGAACTCGCCGTCGCAGTCGGCGGCCGTGGCCTCCTCGGAGAAGAACTCGAGCAGCAGCTCCTGGCCCGAGGAGCGCAGCGGCGGCGGCGTGGGGGCGGCGGCGCCGGGGGCGGCGGCGGAGGCGGAGGCGGAGGCGGCGGTGAGGCGCGCCACCATCTGCGCCGCCAGCGAGTTGCCGTCGCGCACCTTCAGCCACTGCGCGGCGCACGGCAGGCGCAGCCGGTGCAGCGCCAGGCGCACCGCGTGGCCCTTCTCCGCCTGCAGGCCCACGCCACGCCAGCGCACGGTGTAGCAAAGGCAGACACACAGACAGGTTACAGGCAGCGACATGGGCGGATGGATGGATGGAAGGAAGAAAGAGTGGATAGGAGGATGGATAGATGGGTGGATTGGTCAATGGCTGGATGAAATGGTGGGTGGCTTGATGGGTGGACGGGTGGATGGATGGGTGGATGGACGGATGAACGGATGGATGGGTGGATGGATGGATGGATGGGATGGATGGATGGGTCAATGGGTGGGTGGATGGATGGGTCAATGGGTGGGTGGATGGATGGATGGATGGATGGGATGGATGGATGGATGAATGGATAGATGGGTAGATGGATGGATACGTGGATGAGTAGATGGATGGATGGATGGAAGGGTGAATGGATGAAAGGATGAATGGATGGAGAGATGGATGGATGGTTGAATGGATGGAAGGATGGAGGTGTGGGTGGGTAGATGGATGGATGGATGGAAGTGTGGGTGGGTAGATAGATGGATAAGTGGTTGGATGGATATGTGGGTGGATGGATGGATGGGTGAATGGAAGGGTGGGTGGATGAAGGAACGAATGAATAAATTAATTAATAGATTGAAGGATGGATGGAAAAGGATGGATGGGAAAAAATGGGTGAAACGATGGATGAAGGATGGATAGATGAGTGGAGGGATGCAAGGATGAATGGGTGGATAGGTAGATTTTCATCTGTTCAAATGAGCAAATTGTTCATTCAAAGTTTTCAAATTTCAAGAGCAATGATTTTAGCGGTTAAAATGCTAATCTGCAACATACGAGTACATACATTACCGAAATTTAGAGATTATTTGAACTAATGTTTAAGAACGAATAAGCAGAAAAATGAAATTTTTGGTATTAATAATCTCGAATCATTGTTATATCATGAATGAGAGAATTCGACTTTCGAGAGTGATTTACGACATTAACATTATGTTCGTAAAAGCATGTACATATTTTGCTCAGCAACCAGAAATAATTCAATCTGAATGTACAGAAATGAACGAATAGTTAGGTGAACCTACGCTTCAATTTTTTCTAAAAATTGAGCGGATGCGAATGTATGAGGTTGAGATGTCTACTTTTTAGAAAAGAGACTACTATTTCAAGGCATAATACAATAATAAATTTCATTTTTAATTTAAATTTAATGTGCATATTTTTATTAAGTCTTATTTTGGGATTTTTGAATTAGAATAGTTCGTAGTGGGGCAAAGTGTGGATCAGCTCACAAGGTCAGTTCTCTACGTTTCATATACAGACTATAATTTTAAGATGCAATATAGTAGTAAACACTTTGTTTTGACTTCAAGTGAACGATTAAAAGTAGATTAAAGTATATTTTGTGTTTAATAGAATTAAAATAGTTCGTAGTGGGTCAAAGTGTGGATCAGCTCACGGGGTGAGTTTTCTATTTTTTTATACAGATTATAATATTAAGATGCAATATAGTAGTAACACTTTGGTTTTGACTTTGTTTTTGACTTCAAGTGAATGATTTAAGTATATTTTGTGTTTAATAGAATTAAAATATTTTGTAGTGAGGCAAAGTGTGGATCAGCTCACTAATTGAGTTGTCTACTTTTCATACTCAGACTATTATTTTAAGATGCAATATAGTAGAAACAACTTTGTTGTTCATTTCAAGTGAATGATTACAATTAGATTAAGCCATATTTTGTGTTTAATATAATTAAAATATTTCGTAGCGGGGCCAAGTGTGGATCAACTCACAAATTGAGTTTTCTACTTTTTTATACAGACTATAATATTAAGGTGCAATATAGTAGTAACGACTTTTTTGTTCATTTCAAGTGAATGGTTAGAAATAGATTAAGTCATATTTTGTGTTTAATATAATTAAAATATTTCTTAGTGTGGCCAAGTGTGGATCAACACACAAGTTTAGTTGTCTACTTTTCATACACATACTATAATATTAAGACGCAAAATAGTAGTAACGGCTTTGTTTTGAGTGATTAGAATCGGAATCAAGAAAGTGCGAAGGGAGCCGCACCTGCACGAGCCAGAAGGAGCGGCCGGGGCAGGCGCGGGCGGAGGCGGCGAGCAGGCGGCGCGGCTTGGCCGGGCCCAGGTGCACGGTGCAGCCGCAGCGACAGCCGGGCCCCACCTCCGCCAGCACCTCGGGCCGCTCGGCCAGCAGCGGCGGCGCGCCGGGCGCCGGGCGCGGCGGCGCGTCCAGCGGGCAGTCCCACGCGCCCGTGCCGCGCCCGCAGCCCGACGACTGCACGGCGGCGCCGGCGCAGAAGGCGGCGCCGTAGCGCGGCGGCGGCGAGTCGCACAGGCGGTAGCGGCTGCGCACGCCGCCCCCGCACGTCGACGAGCAGGCCGTCCACGCCGACCACGCGCCCCACCCGCCGGCCTCGCCCTCTGCGCACACACACACACGCACATGCACGGTTCAGCTACTCTGCGCACAGTGGGGGCACTTCGCTAGCGCACATGTTGGGAGCTTAGAAAAACAGATCGATTGACACATTTATTAGGGATTGCGGCACTTCACTCTCTGCTGCACACGCACACACACACACACACACACACACACACACACACACACTCAGTCGTCATTTCCAGTTTGCGTACAGTAGGAGGCACTTCGCTAGCACACATGTTGGGAGATCGATTGATTAATTTATTAGTGATTGCGAGCTCGTCATCTGGTAAGGTCACTAGTCCTGTGAATGTGGTGCATGTTTTCCCCCACGAGAAGGGGCGGTGATTTTCCACCGCTGGGTCTTGAAATCCAGCGGTCGCGCGCGGTCCGTGGCCCGTTTGTGAGGGTACTGCTCCGGCATTTCCCTGGTGTTGATCGGAGAAACCACAGAAAACTACCGATCAGAGCAGCCGGCGACGGAAACTCTTATTCCAGAAAGCGGTTGAATTGGACCTAGCTACGTAGCGAGTGAGTCAAATGCTGACATCGTCCGCACTCAAACTTAGAACCAGCCGCCTTTGGTGGCATGATTCATCTACTGATTGATGTCATAGGCTTCCGCGGCCAGAGTCATGATCTGGGCTGTCCGGGTGACGCCGCGTCGATGGCTGAGGTGCCGACGTTTCCAACGACATATCGCGGTCCTCCTTAGGGCTGTTCAGGGCTGAACGTGGGCGGTACAGCCCTGAAAAGGTCCGCGATATGTCGGTCGAAACGTCGGCACCTCAGCCATCGACGCGGCGTCACCCGGACAGTCCAGATCATCATCTACTGATCGATCATTTCGTGTTTATACATAGGTTTAGCCACTTTATTACCACACATACGGGGAGATCGGTCGGGTGTTTAGTTTGATTCGTGATTCCGGCTGCGTTGACTCTGTAGTCATCGGTCTCGTACGTACAGTGCATTTTTATCACAGGAGGTGAGGATGTTATTTCACCACCGGATGTGAGAGAACCGGCGCAGATCTACATGTCGGCTTATGGATTTTTTCTCGCCCACCAACGGACCAGAGCCCCAAATGCAGCAAACTCTAATCTTCCGACTGGTCTCCCGGCATGTGTGGTAGAGTAGTGCCTATACGAACTGCAAGTGTGTATGAAAGTAATCGGCGATGATAGGACAAAATTTGTTGGGGTACTATTTCGACATTTGCCCGCTGATGATCGCAGAAACCACGGAAAACAGACAAACAAACAAACAATTCTCCTCCAGTCAGTGATTGAATACGACCTAGCCATCTAATATGTATCGAAAATTCTTTCCCCATCGGGACTGGAACCTCATGTATCAGTATCTGCCGGTCCACGGCACTGCTGTGAATCTGCAGTATATCTTCTATTCATTGTATTATAATATGCAGATGGCATATATCATATTATACAGACTGCGTATCGCCTCCAATAGCTCAGCGGAAAAACCATTGCCTTTGCAGAACTGATGACCACAAGTTCTAGGGTTGGTATTCCGACGGTAATGATTTTTACACCGCTCGCTCAGTCTCAAGGGAACAAGCGGTCAGCTACTTTGATGGAGAGTTTTTCCTGATATCTCTCATCAATACCAGCGGCCAAACTAACTTATACCACTTGCATTCTCAATCCCTCTATGATCGACAGAATTACTTCACCATAAACATCATTAGGGACAAAGTTTGCAAATACAGTCTCCCAAAAGTTATTTTCGCCTATAAGATTGACTCTTTCAATAGGCGAGAATAAACGGAAATCAATTTGGTATCCTTCATGGAATAAATTATTTCGTCCATAAATTAATTCCATAACATAAGAAGCATACCGCAGAAGGTAAAGTGTAGAAAAAGGTTTCATCACGGCTCGTTCTGCGATTCGCCGCGGGTAACAACATATATCTTCAAAATGCCGAACCCCTTCATGTGATTCTTTTGAGCTGTTAAAAATAGTACCAGCAAAAATTTTACAAAATCACAGACCAAAATCATTGAAACTTTCAATTATTAAATTTTAAATGTAACTTTAAAAATATATTGAAACTTTCTGGAGAGAGCAAACATTGTATTCCACAGATACGAGAAAATGAGCAATTAAATGCTTCTATAAATAGTAACAAATGTTGTTTACAAGTCCTCGGCTGAAAACAATATTAATAGTAGCAAAGATAGAGGACGTTCCGAAATGAGAATACGCAATTATTAGAATTTCAAAATTTAAAACGCGTAAAAAGTAGACTCATTAAATTCTTCAGATATTATAGTTGATCAACAAAGTTCATACCAAATAATCAATAAAGGTGTCGCAGACAGTGTGAAACTCATCTCTCTCATTGACTTCGCTTTTTAGCATAATTTTCAGCAAAAAAAATTTATTTCTTCAACAAAAGGGATCAGGTCGAAAAAAAGGTCACTAAATTGCAACTATACAGCTTTTCCCCAACAAAATTTTCATAAGCTGGATTATTATCACCCCACCCGATTACCTAAGTGTTAAATAATTTTTTTGTAAAATTGTTAAATTTGAAAGTTTTTTAGATAAAATTCAACACTTTCAGTAAGTGTATTACATGAAATGCACTCCGCAACAAATGCTTAACGCTTGGAAGTTCTATCTGTGGACGCCGGTTGCACCCAATGCCGCCGTGGAAGCTCGCCGGCTGTTTCCGCAGGTAAAGATCTCTCAGCTCCATCGCCCGCGGGATGGAGCCATCCATAAAGAGAGTGCAGCGACGCCACGGGTGGAGCAATTTCTTGAACCGAAAGTTGTCGCAGACAGCGCTCGCCGTGCCTTGGGTGCTTTGAGCCGCCCTCACCCCCGTCCTCACTCCCGCGCTCACTCCCGCCCTCACTCCCGCCCTCACTCCCGCCCTCACTCCCCCGCCCCTCACTCCGCCCTCACTCCCGCCCCTCACTCCCGCCCTCACCCCCGCCCTCACCCCGCCCTCACTCCCGCCTCACTCCCGCCTCACCCGCCCTACTCCCGCCCTCACTCCCGCCCTCACCCTTTTTCCCACCGGATTCCGCTCAACGCCACCGCAGCCAGGCACCGTCCCAGTTCCCACCATTTCCCGTCACACTCCCAGATTCCCACACCAAAACCCCACCCTCCCCTCCGGGCCACAGCCGCTCAACAAACACCCCGACCCTCTCTCTTCCTCTGCCCACCCCTCCAACACACTCGTAATCCCTTCTCCGCCTTCCCCCCCAACCCCCACCCACGCCTTCGCAAAGCTGCACCGCTGACCTCCCTTGCCATGTCTCCACCTCCTCACTTCCCACCCACTTCCTTGCCTCGCCCACTCCAGTTCAGCACCCTATCCTCCCGACTTTCTTACTCCCTGTCCCCTTCGCGCCTCTCCTCGCTCCTCATTCCCAGCCCCTCAACCCCCTCCCCTCCCTCTGACCGTATTCCGGCCACACTCCCCACCCAGGCACTGCCAACCCGCAATCTCACCCAGCCGCTCATTTTCCCTCCCTCAACCCCGCCCCACCCCGTCGCCGCGGAGGGGACCCCGCCCCGCCCCCGCTCCTCCCGCCGCCGCTGCGCCGCACTGGCGTTGATTCGCCGCGCTCGAAAAATTGAGTTCCTCCCTTTGGTGCCGGCGGATATTTGAACAGAAACGAACTCGGATGGAATGAAAAGCCGGCCCCTGAAATGGGGACCCGCATGAAAGCCGGGGAGGATGGGGGGAGAGGGGGAGGGCGGGGAGGTCGCGCACTGCAGAAGGACATAGCTCTTGAGACGTGGGAGCCTAGGCGGCGCAGTGGCTGAAACTGTGCTGCAATGCGCGTCCCGAAATAGTCTCTTGGATCTCGTTCCGATTCGTTCCGATTCACCTTGTTTCTTTATTTGACATTGTCGGATACGTAGCGCAGAGACAGGTGTTACTGCAAAATATCGATCTTGAGGTTTTGACGGAAATTCACTCTTTGGTGTTACTAGAACCTAAAAAGTGTTTTGTTCCATTCCGTATGGCTGTCCGTACTTCATCTGACCCACCGACCGTCTGTCCAACCGACCATCAGTCCATCTGACCGCCAATTTTTCGGCCCGCCTGTTCGCCACCCCGTCCCCATTCTGTCCATTTGGCAGTCAGTCTTTCAGGCTCTCCAATTTTCTCTCCTTCATACCGTTAGTCTGTCATTGTATCTGACTACCCGACCATCCCTCTGTCAGTACGTAGGAATTCTTACCATAATGGATAATACCTTATCGGTCTGGGTGATCTCACAGCATCTACAATTTAAAATGAACTTATAAGTTTTGGAAGTACTTTACATGTACATTTTGCACAGTATATTTTTGGAATTTTGTGAATAACACTTTGAATTTTTTCTTTAAATATTTCGACCCAAAACATCGTTAGCTTATAAAAATAGCCACACATCAGCACAGCAATAAACATTAACTGTTCATTTTATATTGTGAGTTAATTATAATTTTGTACGTTGTGTACTGAAAACAACAATGATACAAATGACACGAAATTGCTAACAGCAACGAACAAATTCGGTGCATGCCACCACTCGGTCACACATATCGCTATTTTTGCAACGGAATGAACTGCTTTATCCGACGCCCCCCCCCCTAACTGCCTGCTGCACGTGACCTTGCAGTAGACGCGGGAGGGAAAACAGCGGTGCCACCTAGGGGGGGGGGAGATAAAATGAAACACATCTTCATTTTTACAAAAATATTGAATATTTTAAGCAGCATTTAAATATACAATAGAAAGACGCATAATATCAGAATTTTCATCAAGTATTCATTTGAGAGTACGATCAATTAATTTTCTAGACATCCACGAACAGTATAGCTAGGTTAAATACGTGTGTATTAATATTTGAAAGGGAAAGAGTATTTGTATTGGACCAATATATTATTATTTATAATATAAATTATCTGAAGGAAACAAATCAATCAGATGTAAATTAGTTAAGTTGTAACGCTCTGTGTCTCAT